TGCCCCTGCGCCCCCCGAAGCGCGCGCCCCGCCAGCAGCGGCGGCGTCAGGGGCGCCCGCAGTGGCCTGGCCGTCGTTGGTATTGTGCTTCTCGTCCGACAAGCGCGCGACCTGTGCGCGGCGGGCCTCGTCGGCGTTCTCGACGGTGTCGGCTGCGGACTGGAACGGCTCCTTCGCCGTGGCTTGGAGCACGGCGACGAGGCGGGCCTGTCTGGCGTTGAGCTCTTTGATGTCGTCCTGCTCCGCCAGCCGCGTGGAATCGCCAACGTCGAAGGCGCCCCCGACATCGATGTCGAATGCGTCAGCGGAGCCCGCCGGCAGCGCGTCCAGGGCAATGGGCAGAGCAGCCGACTCCCTGGGGCCTCCCCGCTTGGCCACGCTGGCAAGCTTGGCGGCCATCTCCTCGTACTTCTTGTCATGTTCGTCCAACTCGGCGTTGGGCGCGCCGACCGCAGCCCGCCGCTCTTCGAGCTGATTCTCCAGCGAGGCCACGTTGGCCATGGTCGCCTGGAGCTCGCCGGCGCGCTGGATGCGTGCCTTTTGCACCTGGGCCAGCTGATCCTCCACGGGAACAGCTTTGGGCACCGCCTGAGACTCGGCCTTCGCCAGCGAGTGGGCCAGCTGCAAATATCGAGTGATCTCCGCTGCGGGCCTGCCCTCCTTCGCGCGGAGCGCGGCCATCTGCGCCGCCTCCGCGGTCGCGGGAGACTGCAAGACAGGCCCGGGAGGAACGGGCTGCCCAAGACCGCCAGCACCACCTCTGCCAGACGCCCTGTGGTCTCCTTGAGCCTGCCCCTTGCCGAACCACCTCCTCCCCCTTTCCTCGCCGCAGCCGAAGAGCGCGGGGGGGGAGGGGGGGCGGGGGGCTGGTCGACCGCGGCGAAAGGCGAAGAGGCCCACGCGCCGCCAGGCGGTTTGGGCTCGGGGACTTCCACCCCGGCCAGCGGCGAGTAGCAGGCTTTGCACCTCTTGTAGTGGAGCAGGTTCTTCTTGCAGCCGCGCGCCGCGCATGCGGCCGCCTTGGGCTTGCCGCCCCCTCCTGGCCGCCCCCTCCTGGCCATTTCCACTGCTGGGAGGAGACCGAAAACCGAAAACCGAAGGAGGACCAAAGACCGAAGGAGGTGCCATCTCTTCGTCGCCTGGAACTGAAGAAGCCCGCCCCCTCGGTGAAGGCTGAAAAGGATGCCAGGTTCAAGAGCCTTGAACTAGCCTCGAAATTGAACCTCCTGAGTCGGTGGGAAGCGCGGGTTGGGCCCCCGCGTCTTCGGCGAAATCCGTGCCCTACCCCCGCCGCCCATCGAAGTCTCTGAACCGTTGATCGGCGAGGGTGAGGTTCGGACGTCGCCGTCGAGAAGCGGGAACGCCACTCTGGGGCGCAGTCTGCGCGCTCAGGTGGAGGCGAAGAGTTCGCCCGCTCGGCGCGCGGTCCCGTTCCTGCTTCCCTGGCGACTTGCCGAGCGAGAACAGGCCCGACGCAGCCACCACATGCAGGGGCATCTGCGCGGCGCTTGCGCTCGGCACGCCCGGGCTGGGCAGGGGAACGTCGGGCGCGACAACCAAACGGCTGATATCGCAACAGACAAACAACGGCAGCTGAAACACCATCGCCTTTTTGCATCCAGTGGACTGCGTCCGCGGCGATACCGATAGCGAGTCCGGTTCAAAATGGGGCAGGGACGGTTGCAGGTATTAGTCACAATTCTTGCCATACCGCTTCTGATCCTCAAGAACAACATTTCGACCGCTCACGCGCGCCTGCTGCTTCCAAGGACTGAACAATCGAAGACATGTGGAGCGCGTCCAAACGGCACCGTCATTCGCGAGCGAAAGCTGCTTCGAACAAGTACGCGCGGCACTGCGGCGATATTGACATGTCGCGTTTCTTTCGCGCGTGGTCCACGAAGCGGGAGCGCCTCTTTCAAGCGGAATCTGCGCGGTGCTCAAACTAGGGCCAGGGCTGCATTTTGCACGCTCGCACGCGATCCCGCTTCTGGCGGGTTGGCGATAGGAAGAAGTGTACCGCGCCTGGGCGAGAACATATCATGGCGAACTACACATGCAATGCGCTGAGGCGAGAAATACATTCCTGCGTTCGATCGCGCGCGATGCGCGCCGCATCCCATCCCTGCCCCGCCTTTTGCCACGTCGCGAACAAAACGCCCATGCTGACGATAGGAACCGAACAATTACATGTACCACCTCTTTCCTCCTTCCATCTCCTCGGATGCCGCCCCATGTTTGGGATCGGGGAGGAACGGTGTGGATGTGTAAAACCGTCCTCCCCCAGCGACAGGAGGACGCCGTCTGAGTAGTTTCTCCAAATAGGCTTGCCCTAAAAGTGTCCTAGCTCATCATAAGTACGTGGTCTTTAGGACACCCCCCCTTTTTTCAAATGGCGCCCCCTTTTTCCAATGCCCCCAACATTGTTTCCAATGGCACTTGCTTGCTTGCTCTTGCGTGTTTGCTCTCGCTTGCTTGCTCTTGTTTGCCCTTGCTTGCTTGCACTTGATCGGTGGTTCTTGCTTGCCTGTTATTGCTCGCTTGCGCTTGCTTGCTTCCGCTTGCTTGCTTGATGTTGCTCCTCCCGTTCTCCTCCCGTCCTGCCCCCGTCCTCTTTTCGTCCTCCTCCCATCCTGCTCTCGTCCTCCTCCTGTCCTCCTCCTGTCCTCCCATCGATTTGGAGTCAACGCTGGCGGATATTTCTTGTTGCGGCCCGCACGGGCACAGGCGCAGACGCCAGCCGAACTGGGCGTGGCAAGCGCGCGTGCGCACACGCCCGCGGGGACCGTACCCGGGACCCCCTTTTGGGCGGGGCGAGGCGACATGGGGAGTACTGAAGGGGAGGGTTCGCGAACGAGCGGAATAGGAAACGGGGCAAAAACAACAGGGGAATCATGGAGCGGGAAGGAGTACATGGGGGGAGTAGTGAAGAGAGCAGTAGCGAGGGGGTCGCAAACCTCCCGGTGCCGGAGGAACCACCGTATCGAGGACGGCGCCCGGCGGCGGACGGGACCAGCTGCGTGCCAGCTGGGGCACGGCGCGTGTGAGGGGTGCGCCGAGTGCCCCGCAGCCCCGACGTCATGATTGGTTCCCCTCTACCAGGGGGACGTAAGACCCGGGTACCGGGGACTCGGAAATCACCGACGAGGTCGTCAACAAAAATGACGAGGCCGAGCCTGCATTTTGACGAGGCCTCCCGCTGCAGACATCCCACGAAACTCCTCCTCGTCAAAATCCGAGGCGCGGTCGTCAAAAAACGATGGCGAACCCGAGTCCTGGCAAACCCGGGTCTTACGCTCCCCCGACTATAGCTCTCTGAGGGCCACGAGGGCCCCAGATGGGAAGCAGGACCGGGCAGCCCTACGGGCGAGCACGGGCGACAAGTGGGGGGCAGCGCGGGCGGCAGAAAAGGGGCCATCTGGGGCCCCAGAGGGGGCCTCGGGGGCCCGAGAGGGGCACCTCTCTCCCCCCCCCCACTCATCGCCCCCCATAAATAGGGGGGAAACAAACCTACCTCGCTTCTGACCACCCTCGCTTCCAAGAGATACCAAACGATGCCAGATTGCAGCCTGTGCTGGTCAGGCCGCTTGACGAGGAGGCGCGTGGTACGGCTTGGTTTTGCCTGGAAGCGAAAGCGGGGTAGGTAATTCACGCTCTGAATAAAGTCGCGCCCAAAGAGCCCTGGAGCTCTTTCCGGCGCCAGTCAGGGAACGTCGCAAAAATTTGCCGGAACTTCCAGCGTGTCCCAGACGCGTCCTCCGCTTCGTTTCCAATACGCTTGCCGCACGCCTTTCCGCAGCTCCTTCGAAGCCCTTCCGGGGCTCCTGCGAAGCCCCTTCACAACGTGGGCCTCCAAACGTCTCGACAATTCCCCGGGACCCGCTTTTCATCCTGCGTCGTTCTTGGGACGAGCCCGAAGCCCAGCCGAAAACAGCGAGAAACCTTCCGACTCGAGGTGGTCTGGGTTGGGCGGGACCGAGGCTGGGGCTCAACGAGGACGAGGAGGAGGAGGAGGAGGAGGAGGAGGAGGAGGGGGAGGAGGGGGGAGGAGAGAGGTGGGCTCTCCTCTCGCCGACGCCCCAATCCAGAAGTCTTACGGCACGCGGCCGAGGCCGCGTCGGCGATGCATCGGCGACGCTGGTGTGAAGACGCGTCGCCGATCTTCCAGACGCACACGTCGGTGGTGTCCAGCGGAGATGCGGTGCGCTGGGCACTCCGTGTGCTCCTCGGCGGCATCCGAGCCCTGCCCCCACCAACCATCGATCCTCCTGCATCGATGGGAGGCGGGGGTAGGGTTCAGATTCCACGCCGCCGCCCATCGAGTTGCCTGAATCGTTGACCGGCGAGGGTACGGTTCTGATTGCGCCGCCGACTGGAGTCACCGCAGCTGCTGCTGGACGTGTCTGGACGTCCGCCACGACCTGTTTGGGCCTGAGGGGGGACGATCAGGGGGACTGATTCAGGGGGGAATCGGCGACACATTGGCGATACATCGGCGATACAGTAGACACACACACACACACACACGGTAACAACTTCTGCTGTAAACATTCGTGGGGCACATTTTTCGCCGAGCTTTGAGGGGAAATACACTTAAGTTTCTGTGGGTCCTTGGGGCCCCGAGAGGGGAAGAAATTTCCGTGGGGCACCTGCTAGCATGCCGAATGTTGATGTGATGTGCCTCCTGTAGGCCCCCGATCGCGCATTCGGGCAACTATCGGCGATCAATGGGTGATAGAGGGGTTGATACCCCAGAGCATATCCCTCCTGGACATTGCCATAGATATTCCCTCCCCATCCCCCCCTAGGGAACAACAATGTACCAATACTGCTACTCCCTGGACCTCTCCCAGGGCGCGTTCTGACCAGAATTCCAAACAGATTCCAGCCCGCGTGGCGACGATGGACTCCCAGGAGGCCCAAAACAGGCCAAGGAAGGGTAGCACGGGTGCCCATTCCTCCTCAATCCGCCCCCGCCCCGTGGTACCCCCCCGTCCCGCCGCTGCTTGACGTGCGTGGTGAAGTCGAAGTCGTACGGTTCGATGTGGCGCAGGCCTTTCGGGTGGGTGCCAATGGGGGGTGACCCAAATCGGGGGTGAAGGGAAAAACCCCCAAAGGGCCCTGCAGGGCTACCTTTGGAGCCGGCAGGGGCCCAAAAGGGGCCCTACAGGGGCGAAAGAAAGGGCCCCGGGGCCCCTTGAGGCGCCTTTTGGGTACCCGCCGGCTCCCGAAGGGGCCCGGGCCCCTTGAGGGCTCCTTTCTTCATCCCCCATTTGACTCGGGTCTTCCCCCATCAGCATGCGCCCGAAAGCCTCTCTCCACCTTGTAGGTCACGCTCTCCGGCCTGGTGGCTCCCGCTGCGCCTGTGGCAGGCTGCTGCTGCTGCTCCCCCTCCTTCTGTGCTCAAGAGCTCCTGCTGTGACCGCTCCGCGCCCCCCTCCTCCTCCTCCTCCTCCTCCTCCTCCTCCTCCTCCCTCCTCCTCCTCCTCCTCCTCCTCCTCCTCCTCCTCCTCCTCCTCCTCCTCCTCCTCCCTCCCTCTTCTCTCCTCCTCCCCCCCCTGCCGCCCCCTCCCTCAAGCCCGCTCGTCGGATCCTACGACGACATGCGGCTCTCAATCCCGCCGCTCGTCCTCGCTCCCGGCCTCCGGGGCCCGTGGCCCGGCCCTGGGGCCATTCGGCATGGCTTCTGTGAAGGGAAACTGGGACACACAAACAAATACACACAAATAAAAAGATTCCCCATATTTTCCCATATTTTCTGTGTTTTTGTCGTCCCCACCACTTCCCATATTTTCCCATATTTTCTGGGACATCGACGATGAATTGTGTCTGTGTGTTTTTTCCCCTCCTGATTCTGGACACCAGGCTGGCTACCCCAAGGGTGGCAGGCAGGGGCATGTGGTGGCACGTCATTGTTTCGGGCGTTGGCAGATCTGGGCTTAGTGGAACCTGGTTTAGTGATCTGTACGGGGGGCGCCCCCCCCGCCCCATTTCCACTGACCGGAACTGCCGTCACCCGAAGCACACCAGTTACGGCAAACCTGGTTCAGTGAATCTGGCCAATTGAGGGACCCCAGGGCCCTACCACTAACCGGGTCCCCTTACCCGGGGTCCTGGCTATACCCGATTGTTGTCATTGTATTCCATCGCATGCGTGCTCCGTTTGCTCGTGCAGCTGAGCAGGCCCCAAGGCAGAGCCCCGATACGCAACCATTGGGGCGAGCAGCAACAAATACAGAGCATAGCTTATGTCTTGATTATCCTTCGCGTTCTTCTTAGAAGGAGGCTGATTCTTAGAAAGCGCCGGCCTCACATCTACAGACAAGGCCCGCACCTTCTAATAGCCAGGGGTGCTTCTAAGAAGCCCTCCCCCCTCCCCCTACCCCTCTCTGCGCGTGTGCGTTGCTGAGCAGGGGCGGGCTCCGACATCTGCTCTGTTGTCAGAAGCCTCCCAGATGGGGTCGGAGTAGATGGGGTCGGAGGTTCGCGCCCAATCATCGATGCGTCGGTGATGCATCGGCGGGCGTGGAGAACATCGGGCTCCACATCGGGCCGCATCACCTATGCATCGGCGATGCGGCGCGATCCTTCGACCCCATCTGCTCTGACCCTACCTGAAAGGACTGAAGGTGACGGTACATACACACATGTATACACATATATATATATATAGAGAGGTATAGATATTCGCACAGACGCACATACATATACATAGTTGTATATGTATGTGCAGAGAGATACTGTAAGCACATACACCCATACAGACATACACACAGGCATACATACATACAGACATACATAGATACATGCATACATGCATACATCCGTCCGTACGTACATACATGCATACATGCATACCCACATACCCACATACATACATACATACATACATACATACATACATACATACATACATACACACACATACATACATACATACATACATACATACACACACATACATACATACATACATACATACATACACACACACATACATACATACATACATACATACATACATACATACATACATACATACATACATACATACATACATACATACAGTTATTTATTCATTCATTCATTCATTCATTCATTCATTCATGCATACACACATTCACACGTACATATGTATGTATATATATACATGTATACATATGTACATATACTTATACTTATACATATATATAAATGTATAACCACCGCCCCAGCTGGCCGGCACCAGCCTGGGCCCTGGATCGGCGCGTGCGCCCTCCTGGCTTTGCCAGGGAGGCGCAGGACACCGCTCCCGTCGCCGGGTCGGGCTAGAATGTGGCAGCGAGAAGGCACCGGACCTCTGGAGGGGTGGCAGCGAGAATGTGCCGCTGCTCCACGGAACACTGGCGGGGTGCGTTCTGACCAGGACTTTGAGGAGACTCCCGCCGAACGTGGCGACCATGGCCTCCCAGGCGGCCCAAGGAAGGCGAAGCAAGGGTAGCGGTATGGGTGCCCGCTCCTCCCTACGTCGCCCCCGTGACGAGGACTCTCGAGGGCGACCAGCGGCGGGGGGACCTTCTCCTCGCCTGAGAAGGGGGGAGGCAGCGAATCTGCTCACGCAGCTGAGTTCCCTGGCGCCTCCCGGCGCCGCGGGCACTTGCGGCTCATTCCTGAGTCTGTACATGGCTCGCACCTTGATCAGACAGCTCGCCTGGACAACGGCTCTGGATGGGCCGGCGGGGATACCCGAAACGTCACGAACATGCAGCGGCTGCACGGATGGATGGAGAACACCTGAAAATACAGCTCTCGCTCCAGCGCCGCGCACATGTGTCTTGAGCCCTTGCGACACATCCAGGATCGGTGAGGTGGTCAGCTGCTGCCACCCGCAAGTGCACCGTCACCCCAGTGCCTCCCCGTCGTGCCGCGCACGTGGCACGTGCGCGGGCTCCGCGGGGAGGAGGGGGCCCGAGTGGCGCTCGTGCGCAGGGCGGGCGGGCCTCGCGCCTCGACGCCCTCCCCTCCTCGACAACGGCCACCACGACGGCGGCGGCGGCGGCGCGGCGGCGGCAACGGCGTCGTGGGGCGCCACAATAGGGGGGAGGGCACGTCGCCCGCGAGTCAGATGTACATCGCCGATCCGTCGGCGATGCCGTGCCGTTTTTTATACATGCTCCGCGTGCGGCTCATGAATTAAGCATGCAAGGGTTTAGATGAAAAACAACTATGAGTTCATGCATAAATTTATTCATCAATTAATCATGCATTGAAAATCCGGTATTTTCAAAAATCCTATGTATTAGGAACTGCCCTGTTGGTCCCCGATAGCGATGCTGCACACTCCTGGGCGGCGTGCGGGAATCGGACTGCGATTCGGGGTCGATGCGCCCCCCCCACCTAAGCTTACCCCCCCCCCTAAAAATGCCCCTTGGCCTTCGGGCCAGAGCTCGGCTCTCCAGCTGCCGTTCGGGGCGATCCGGGCACCTCCTGCAACGCTCTCAGCGAGGCGCAACCGCTGGAAGGCACCCCCGAGGCTGCAAAGAGCGGAGACTGACGTCATCAGCGGTCGATCGCCGTTGTCATGGACGCCAAGGGGAACTCCGGTTTGGGCCCCCCGAGGAGCGAATCTGTAGCTATATCCCTGACCGCCCCCAGCCCTGATGCTTCGGGCGGGTTGGACGCCCGAACGATCCGGGATAACTGCGGTCCGGAGTAACTCCGGTTTGGGCCGCGCAGGCGCGAATGTGCTACCCCTGACCGCCTCCAGCCCTGATGATTCGGGGCTCTGATTGTCCGTCGTCGCCGTCGGGCGCCGTTCGCCGCGGCGGCGGCGGCTGGGCGTGCACCGTCGGGGCGGACGCGCTTCGCGCCATCGGCGGCCTGCCGCGAGAGGGCGCGCGCGGCGGCGGCTCCGTCGTCCGCCGTCGTCGCTGGTCGTCGCCGTCTGTCGCTGGCCGCGTCGTCGTCGTCGGTCGTCGGTCGTCGGTCGTCGTCATCGTCGCCGTCCTGCGCCGCACGTCGTCCGCCTGTCTGCCCGTCCGTCCGTCTTCGGCGATTGAAACGTCTGGCGAGGAGGAGCAACAGGAGACAGCCCCAAAGAGGCCTCCAGGAGGCGTTTTCCCCGTCAGGGCCTGGGAGACTCTCGGTCCGTCTTTGGGGGGCCGTCTTGGAACGATCTCGGCGGCATCTTGAGTCCTCTTGGCATGCCAGAGCCTTGAAAATGAAAAAACGCTAAGCTGAGCTGTTCCCCCTGAGGCCATCTCGGGGATCCTCTTGGAGCCCTCTTCTGATTTCCTGGAGTTTCGTGAGCCGTCTGGAGGGCATGTTGGGCCATATGGTGATTCTCTCGATCAGTATTGTAGGCATTTGTTGGACCGTCTTGAGGCCTTCCAGAGCGATGCCAAGACGATGTCGACAACATGTTATGTGTTGAAGACCCCCCTTACGAAACCCGCATTTTGCGAAAGATCGAGACCACGGAGACGTCGACTACATCTCCTTTGTGTGAGGATGTCCCCAGCGGAATCGGCTTTTGGGGCAAACGCGAGATCAAGAGGACGTCGACGACATGTATTAGGTCCCTGCGGTAAATTGTGCATGCCAACTTCCTCAAGCTCCCCTTAACTGCATTTCTCCCGGCTCATGGATCGTACGCTATGCGCGGTTTCCGTCGTCTGCCGCCACCTTTGCTTGTTATGGTGTGCCTGGCGCAAGTTGTCATGTATGTTGGTCTCTGCCAAACAAAATCCCAATGACCGTCCATCGATCCCGCGGGCAATCCAGAAAACGCCCCTGCAAGACAGCTAAGATGGTTCAGTGGACCCTCCAAGGTGGTACAACGAGACCTCCAAGATAGCCCCAAGAGAGCTCAGGAGAACTCTCAAGATGCCTCCTAAACGGCCTAAAATGACTCCAAGACGGCTGAGGATGCTCTCCAGACAATCCAAATGGACCCCATGACGCGCCAAGGGGACCAGAAGAAACCAGCATCATTGATTACCCTTTGGATTTTGAATGATCTTCGCGTCCCTTGAAGCGCCCTGACCGTGCGAGAGCATGGCCAGCACGCTCATCATTGTGAAGTTCTCGAGAACTGCACTGGTGCTATCTGGCCAAAGCCCCAGGCTACAACTGAGTCTGTTCGTTTGCTCGGGTGTTCGAATGTTCTGTTCGGGCTTCTCACAATCCAGCACGTCCCTAGAATGAGGCCTCCAGGATGGCCCGCCCCAGACCCCGGACAACCCAAGAGGATCGCAAGAGGGCTCAAGACTGGCCAGTGAGGCCCCTATGATGACACCAGAGGCTCCCAAGAGGCCCCCAAGGGTTCCCAAGGGGCCCCAGGAACCTTACGAGGACCCCAACACGCCCCCGGTGGCAGGCAACGCGCGAACACCGCCTGTGGGGCCTTCGGTGGAACTCCCTTGGGGAAACGAAGCGTGTGAGGGATGTGCCGACATGGGCGCGGGCACGAAAAGTGTGAGGGGTGTGCCAGAAGAGGCGCGGCAGCATGCGAGCACCGCCGCTGGGGCCTGGGGCACAGCTCCGCATGGGGCGGCTACTTAGCGCGTGAGGGGCGTCCCCGAAAAGGACGAGCGAAGGGCAAGCACAGGCGGGAGGGGAGTGCGGAGCAGGAGTGCGGATGAGGAGGGACTGGAATTGCGGGTATGAATGTTGAAAGGTTGAAGACAACGCGGCAACAGCTACAGCATAACGGCGGTCATTTTACCTCGTTGGCTCCGTGAGCACGCTTGAGACGCGTTGGCGGCGGCGGGCGCGCGCGCGGGTCGTATTCGAGTCGGGGCTACCGGGCAATGGAAGGTGTCCTTCCGAAGCGCTGTCTTCATGGGAGAACGCGCGGAGAGATGCGGTAAGACAGTCGCGTGTGAAGCGCTGCCTGTGGCCAGGGTCGTCTGATCGTAACGGCCCCCCGCAGCAAAGAGAGTTCAGTGATGAATTCCTCGCCCTGGCTCCATCTCAGTGGCCGTTGGCGAGTAGCAGCCAGAAGCAGGACACTGCTCTGGGTAGCTCACCCCGCAGCACTGGTCGCGCCTTCCAGCCAGGTTCGCTCCCAAGTCTTGCATCCTGCGCACTGCCGGCGTAGCCAGTCGCCTTCGGCACTATTTGGTAAATGCCGGCGGGCGTAGCTGGTCGTTGCGGCGTTTGCGCTGCTCCGCAGCTGGAAACTGCCCGCGCGCCTTGCGTCGTAGGCGCGCAGACACAATTCGTCCAGCTGGTTCCGGAAGTGTGTCTCCAGCTGCTAGCGCTTGATATTTACGGCTGTTGACTGGTGGTCGCGGCGGTCTGGTGAACGCCGAACGACACTGGCGTGGCGAGTGCAAAATTGATGCAGCCATCAGGTGGCGCAGTGTCGCACGTGCCTACTTCGGCTGCTCAAAATTGCCCCAGTACTGATTGTCTTCCCAAAATATTAGCGTTGGTGGCACGCATCGCACCTGACGCCGCGCACCGTCGATCGGCAGAACAGCGTAGACAGCCTGCCAGGCCACCGCGATGCATGCCGACTGGTTCGCAAAGATGCGTGGGCAGTTGCGTAGTGCTGACCTCTGGATTGGCGTGCTGCCGCGCCCGCATCTCGCAGCGGAATCGGCGCAGAAGTACAAAAGCCGGGCACTTGCACATAGCACCTCTCGAGTGGCTGGCGAGTTGTGCCTGCCACAGCTTCGCAACGAAGACGCAGAATTGCTTTTCGATTGTGATCGTGTCGGACGCGGTCTGCGGTGAGCGCGCGGTCAGGTCACCCTCGTGGCGCTCGCTGTCATTGTCGCCAAGTGCCCTGTGGATGGCACATCGGTCTTTAGCATGCCAAGCCCATCGGCGTGGCGGTGGCTGTCAAAACGCACGTGTACTCATGCTGCGCAGCGCGTTGAAGCGGAGATGCTGTGCCAAGTAAAGGCACGATCACTTCCGATCGATCCGCTGCAGGCGCGGCGGGGCCCGGGCTGCTGGCAGGCGCGCGGTGGACCTGGTTCGGCGAACTGTCGCTGCCCAAAGGGGTGGAGCCGGGTGCAGCCGCAACGGCCCCTTCGTTTTGCGTGGCGTCGTCGGGCAGCTGACGGTGAGCCTGGTGGCTGAGGTCACTTGTTCAGCGGCTCTGGGCGTGAGATCACCGGCGGTGCCCTGGGACAAATAATGCTTCGCGCGTCGACCCGCTAGCGCGCAACCTTCTGAGCCAGGGTACCGTCATGAGTAGCGCAGCCAATATGTTGGCGCGCGCTGGGCAACGCGGCGCCGCGCCCCGTTCGCCGCTCCCGATGGGCGGGTGCACCGCCAGGGCGATGTCGGTGAGTGCAAGGGCTGACGCGGGAGCGACGAATGAGGAGTAAGTTTAGGGTAACCATCAAGGCCGCGCACTGCTGGGCATTGGACATGCACTGGCGTGCCAGCGCCATCCCTGGCAGACTCGGACATCTCCTGCCAGTTTCACGGTTTTGTCCGTGACGAGGCCTTCACAAAAGGGTCTTCGTCGGCAGCAGTGCCAAGACGCACCGCCACATGCATGTGTATGTAACGCGGGCGGCGAATAGTCCAACCAATGACACCTCCTGGCGAATTGCTGTATCACGGGGATGGCTGCCAACCTCTTCAGGGCCACGGACGTCCGCGTCTGCGAGCGACAACTCGAGAGTTGCACGAAACTGTAAATCTGCGACGCGGCCGTAGAGACCGTGTCCTGCAAGATCTTCGTGGTGAATGCAGTATCCTTGAGCGCAGCGTTCCAGCTGGCCACGAACGCTTCGCGGTCCGCTGCCATCTGCGTACGATCGCTCATGCTGCTCTTCCAAACGGAGTTCGCGTCGGCGAGAGGGCGTCGGTGGACAGCAGCCCTGGCATCTCGAAGCTCTTCTTCGTAATGTCTAACTACTGTAAACAAATTATTTTGGGGAGACAATTAAGCAAATGGTTTTCCCCAGCGCTGTAGTGCGCCTATAGAAAACAAAAAAATAGAGGCGGGGCAAACTGGATCGCTGGAGACGCCCCCGCGACCGCCCTGGCGCCCTGCGTGCAGGGGCAGGTTCCTGCGCACCCCCTCTTGGCGTCAGGCCACACCTGCCACGCTCTGCGACCCCAGTGTGGATACAGACTGCGCTCAGGGACCACTCCCTGCGCACCGCGCACCCTGTCTGGGTTGCGAACAAGCCACACCTGACACGCCCGAGCCTGGCGTGGAAAAAGACTGCACTTGGGGACCATCCCTTGCGCGCGCCCTCCGGTGCCGAGAGGGCCACAAGTGCTTCAAGATGGCCTCCAAGATGGCGCAATATGGTCCAAGTTAGCTCAAGATAACATCTGGCGTTTTCTTATTAATCATTTGTGTATCCCCACGATGTTTCGGGGGGTCCCCAAGGACCCTCCTCAGATCTAGCCGCTACCGGCCCCAGGAGCCCTCCCTCCCAAACAACGTCCCCTGCGACTACAAAATCACCGAATCCGGAGCACCCCGGATCGGCGGCACTGGCCGGAGGCCATTACAATAAGCACCCGATAGAAAATCCTCACCTTCTTGGGCGGGGTGGGCCATCAAGCCTCTTTGTTTTGCTGTCCAGCGAAACCTCAAACTCAAGTTAAAGTGAGGGATGGAAAATGGAGCGAAGCTTCCTCACGTCCAGCGGAACTTCAAACTCAAGATAAAATGAGGGAGAGCCCCAGGGTCCCGTGACCCTGCAGAAGGCCAATCTCCTGTCTGCGTTCCAAGCGGCGCCAGAGGACCGCTTCACTCGGATCCTAGAAACCACGTAGAGCAGCTACCTCATAGTTGCATACATATCCAATGGTTCGGATAACTCTACCGGCGATGAGTGAGCGATTTGGCGATCGATACGTCCCCCCTGAGCATTTTCCTCTCAACGTTGCCCCTGACTCATCCTATCCCGTTTCTCTTTGTTGCTGCTTCCTCCCTTGCCCTCTTCCGTCCTCGATCTTCCTTCCTTCCTCCCGTTCTTCCCGCGGATGTTTGCGCCTCAGCAAGCGGCTGGATATGTGAACACGCGGGACTCAACCTGCGAAGGGCAACCATCACCCGTGCTAAAAATGACCGAGGCAACGCAAACGCTCCTGTGCCCGCAGACCCGTCAGTGGCTTGCTACGTACTCCTCGGACAGCTTCCACAAGAGCTTCTGGAGCGTCATGTTCTGCGTGTGTGGGTCGGGATCCGTCAGACGTGCAATGGGGTGGTAGTATTTGCCAGTGATCTTGTTCTGCTTCAGAGAGGGACCTACAGAAGCATAGATCTGCGTCAATGCTGCTTCTTTGGGATGCCATACCGCATTGGCCACTAATTCTAACAGCGAGTCTGCTGCTGTCGCGGAGACCTGCTTGATCATGTTGGCGATGTGCCTGGGAAGTTCTGTGTCCACACCTCCAGGGTGGATGCTGTTGACGAGGATTTTGCTGTCTTTGACGCGAGCGGCAAGCTCTTGAGCGAAAAGCACATTGGCGAGTTTTGACTGGCCATATGCCATGCCGCGATTGTAGCTCATCTCGTCGTTCATGCGCTCGATGGATGGCAGTATGCCCTCTGGGTAGGAGTCAAAGTGGGCAGCACTCGAGACCGACACAACGGTGGCGACGCCCTTGGAGGAAGCCGCCGCCTTGAGCTGCGGCAGGAGGAGGCTCGTCAACAAGAAATGGCCAAAATGATTCGTGCCGATCTGAGTCTCCAGTCCGTCCTGGGTCAGGCCGAAGGGTGGCGCCATCACTCCAGCGTTCAAGTTAAGACTGTCCAGCTCGGCATGCTTTGAGGCTACCTGCGCAGCACAAGCTCGCACAGAGGCAAACGAGCCGAGATCCAGCAATGCTGTCTCCACGACTGCGCCTGTCTCGGACTTGATTTTGGCTGCCGCGTCGCTGCACTTCTTCTGGCTTCGGCAACCAATGATGACCGTCGCGTTCTTTGCTGCCATGTGCCATGCAGTCCAATAACCGAGCCCGACATTTGCACCCGTGACCAGGATCGTCTGTCCAGTCAGGTCTGGAATCTCATCAACTGTGAAGCCCCACGGGGTGCCCTCATGCATTGCGGGAAACATGCCCTTGAAGAACTGGCCACGGGAGCCATGATACGTGTCAACAAAGCGGAAGATACCTGTTTGTTTCAAAGCTCCTGAAAAGAGGGCGCCAACGAATACTGCGAACAGAGCAACCAGGATAGCAGAGCATTTGCAGCAGGTGCTAGTCAGGCTCATGGCTGGCAGCGAAGAGTGTGGCCTAAAGCCAAAAAACTCGAATGACGCTGATCACTGAGGTATTGAGCCTAGATCCAGGATCGCCATGGAGCACGAGCCTCTGGCTGATGCTATGCTCAGACACATATAACAGCTTGTGGAAGTCTTATCGAACCCTGAGAGCGTAGGTGGTCTAGGGTATGAGATACATACTTTTGCCCTCTTGGGTAATGGGCGCACCCCTGCGCCCACTGAATGACCTATTCCCGAGGGCCCAGACGGGGCTGGGCGGGGGGGGGGGCACGGTGTCACAGGTCTGCTCAAGATGGCTCCCAAATGGCCCCAGATTGTCCACGACGGCCTCCGAGATGGGGCACGATGTTTCAGGTGGGCTCGGCATGGCCCCCAGCATGGATCCAGGGAGCCCGAAGAAAACCCCAAGATATTTCGAGTTGGCCATGAACCCAGACATCCGACGAGATGATGTTTCAATCGGCGTCCCAGAACTCCCGACCGCTTCCCCAAGGCACACTGTTCGTCCCCGATCCGGTTCTTGAGGCCCCAAGGCCCGACAACGGGCCGCCGAGGAGGCCGAAATCAAGAAACAACGCCGGGATTGAACAACATTCGTATCGTCGGAAATATTGGGACCGTGTCTGTTTCAGCGCGCAGCTAGCCGCGTCGAATCCGCATCGAATCCATGTTGAACGCGTTGAATCTGCGTCGAATCCGCATCGAGTCCGCGTCGAGCCCACGCCGAATCCACCTCGAGTCCGCGCCGAACGCACGTCGCACCAAAAGAAAAGACCGCCATTTACAGGACAGGCAAAGTCCCCCGAAGTTGCAGCGTAAAGATTTGGGCAAGGCCCCCTTCAGGGTCTGGACTCCCTGGGTGGCCTGCAGACCCGGCGGACCGCCACCGCGCTGCCTTGGCAGCCTCGACAACGCTGGCGCAACCCCGGCGGCCGCCTCTCGCAGGCAGGGGCCCCTGCCGAGCCAAGGAATCCAGAGCCGTGGTGACTCGGGGGCCCCCCAACGGTGAGGTGACAACACCGTGTGGTGAGGAAATGCGTTTTCGGGGTGATCGTGCCGTCTTGGGAACTCGAAGCGTTGCCCAATGATGCCTCAAGGCGGCTGGGGCCTCCGAGGTCGTAAAACCACGCGGTGGCGGACCGTACGGTGAAGTCTTTCGGGGTTTTGGAAACACCGCTTCAGCACGGGGCCTTTGCAGCCCGGGGGTCAGGCTCTTCCTCCCACCCTGAGGATGGGGCGCTGTGGTTTCACGCGCGCTGTCGCCCGGTTTCGGACCCCCGATCCCTCCACGGATCGATCCGGCTCGAGCAATGCCGCAGAAAGACGTCTACGGGGCTGATTTCTCACGGCGTTGCATCTTTTTCGCGACGTCGGATCTCAAGGCATCATCCTTTTCCCACGTCCCATTCCCCCTCCACTCTCTCTTCTTGGGCCATGTGCATTTTTGCCGTTCTTCGCAGTTTGCCAGGTCGCGTTTCGCCGAAATCTGGCTGGCGACCTCCCAGCCAGGGGTGAGGAGGAGGAGGAGGAGGAGGAGGAGGAGGAGGAAGGAGAGGAAGAGGAGGAGAAGGAGCCAGAAATGCTTCCAGCTCGCCAGTCCCTCGCGCCACGGGGGCCTGGCGTAAGACCGCCAACGCCCATCTCCTTGTGGCCTCGGGAGGCCGTCAGTCGGCTGGAATCCCTGAGATACGGGCGTTGCATTGTATTCGCCAGGGCTGAACCTAAACGGTGTTTTTCGTTTTCGTTTTGTTTTCGTTTTCCCTCGCTTTTGTCACGAATCCGCCTTTACAGCAAAACGAATTCGAAACGAAAGCGGCCCACAAAATCACCAAAAACACCGTTTAGGTCCAGCCCTGGTAATCGCATGGGTTTTTCGTGGTAAGACATTGGTTCCGAGGGATTCCAGAAAGCCCGACATCTTACCGGTGGTGGCAGTGGTGGTCTAGTGGTGGCAGAAGTGGTCTAGCAGTGCTTGTAGTCAAGTCTGGTGGGAAGAGGAAGAAGAGGAAGAGGAGGAGGAGACGCCGACCCAAGCCTCTCCCCCCAATGCCCGCTGGCTTTCGGGGCCCCACTCGGCTCTCCTGCGGCCGTTCGGGGCGATCCAGGCGGACGGCACCCCGAGGCTGGCGAGCCGACGAGCACCCGCGCACACGTCCGAATGCCGCAGTCCTCCAGGCTGTTCCGTGGCACCCGACGTCGCGAACAAAATTACGGTAGGTTCGCGCGACGTCGGCGCGCGCAAAGGTTTTTGACACCGCCTCGATCATTCAACCTTGAACCGATCGCGGCCCCGATCGTTCAAGGTTGAATTCAGTCGGGTCCAATGGCGTTAACGCGTACATCGGTGCTTCCGCATCGTAAAATTCAACCTTGAACGCCGTCGCCGGCGTCGCCTGCGCGCCAACGCCGCACGAACCTACCGTACAGCATCGCGAACATTCACAGCCAAAGCCCCAGACTCCGTCTCCCCGCCGCATTTTGCCAGCCCGATCGGTCCGTGAGGTTCCTGGGGCCCGAGGCCCTGCGAAGACAACGAAAAAGCTTGGCGACGGCCCGCGGAAACCGCCCGAACACCTGGAGCCTCGAGCCCCCCCCTCTGCCGTTGCCCCTGGCTTGAACAGGGACCGACCGTCCCGGCAGGCACTCCAACCGGCCTACCACGACGTGCGCATCGAACGAAGGAATGATTGTGAACGGCAGCAGTGCTCAGACAGAACGTGCAGCCGCTGTGTTCCCAAGACATAGTCTCAGCCAGCAATGTTCTGAGAGCCAGCAAGAGGTTCTTGGAGCACTCTTACTAGAAGGCTCCCAGATGGGGTCCGAGTAGATGGGGTCGGAGGATCGCGCCGCATCGCCGATACATCGACGATGCATCGCCAATGCATCGGCGATGCATCGGCCATGCACTGGCGACGTCGGCGGTACATCCGCGACGTCGGCGTGGAGAGAACTGTGCGCCACATCGAGCAGCATCGCCGATGCATCGCCGATGCATCGCCGATGCATCGCCGATGCATCGCCGATACGGCGCGACCCTCCGACCCCATCTATTGAGCATGGGCCGACCGTCCTAGCATTTCTATAGCCCTACCACTAGAACCCAAACATGTTCTAAGAACCAAACAGTGTTCTTAGAACATAAATCCGCTGTATGAAAACAAGACAGACTCCGCCAGAAAGGTTCTGAGAGCATGTCGCGGAAACCACAAAAACAGGTTCTTGGAACACTGCTTGGCAGGGCCATATAGGCGAGCCGGGACGCTGCGCCACTGCTTGACATCTCCTCCCACCCCTCGGGGGCGGCAAAGAGGGGGGTGTCCAAGAGGGGGGGGTGCAAATCATGACCGGCGGCATGTGCGCGGCCCAGCGGGGGGGCCAGGGACGTAAGGAAACAAGAAGGGGCGCCATGAAATCTGGGGAAATATCATGGCCCACGCCATGATATCCACCCCCCCCTAGTCATCACCCCCTTCTTTTCCGCCCCCGAACCCCACCTGGGGGGTCTGCGCTGACAGGCCAGCCGGGGCGCCTCGCTACTGCTCGACCCCGCCTCCGGCCGCGCGGGAGGCCCCGCCTCGTCGCCTTCTTCTTGCGCGGCGCCACGGGCGGCCCCGCCCTCCCGCCGCGCCCGGCGCTTGGGCATCGGCGGCCATGCTCGCGGGCGGGGGCGGAGTCGAGCGAGGTGAGCGGGGGGGGGAGGAGAGGGAGGAGGAGGGGGAGGGAGGAGGAGGAGGAGGAGGAAAATGAGGAGCAGGAGGAGGCGGAGGAGGCGGAGGAGGGGGGAGAGGAGGAGGAAGAGGGGGAGAAGAGGAGGAAGAGGAGGGTGGAGCGCGGCGCCGCGGGCTGCGGCGCTGGGCGGCCCAGGGTGGGGGGGGTCAGGAGGGAAAAAAAATACACAGACACCATGAATCGTCGATCCCCCGGAAGACATGGGGAAATAGGGGAGGGGGGGGGGGAAGACGAAAACCCCGAAAACATAGGGGACAATATGGGGAATCCTTCTTGTTGTGCGTATTGATTTGTGTGTCTCAGGGCCCCTTCAGGGGGGCGAGACAGCCTCGATTCCGGGCGGTGGCGCTGGGGTCACAACGGGCGACTCTGCGCCTCGCCTTCCTGCCCCAGGCCCCTCACGGATCGATCCGGCTCGAGAGGTGGCGCAGAAAGAGGGAGTCTGGGGCTCCACATCCAAGGGAGGCCAAACATCGCACCGCGTCGACGATGCGTCACCGATTTCGGGAAGGAGAGAAGCGGATCCCAGACCGCGCTGCATCGCAAAGGACGATGGTAAGGACGATCATGAGGCATGACAAATTTGGTATGAGTTCTGCATTCGAACGAAGATATTATGCGATGAGACTTCAATATCGCCATGTCCCTAATGGCGACGCATTTCGGATTCTAGGACCTCTTCTGGGCCCATAATTCGCCGGCCCAACGGGCCAGAGGCGTGCTAAGATCTCCGGTAACTGGTTAACAATTCTCTAGTTCGCGCGCGCGGGGCGGCCCCTGGGGGTCCCCGGACGAAAAGTACCCCGGGCGATCCCCGACCGATCCCCGGGAGACTCCCCCAGAGCGTTCCAGGAGCGCTCCATGAGCGCACCAACAGGGCTCCGAGACGTCCCCGAGAGCCCCAAGGAAGGCCAAGAGGCCCCCAAGAGGCCCCCAAGATGGTACACGAGGGGTCCGACATGCCACAAGATCGCTCCAAGACGCCCAAGATAGCCCCCAGACGCCCCAAGAGGCCTCCAAGAGCACTCCCAAGAGGGCCCCCGGAGGCAAAATTCATTGTTTTTCCTTAGGTTTTTGAGAGATTTTGGAGCTTCCACCTTTTCGGCTTCCCGACGCCCCAAGACGGCCTCCCCCAAGATCGAGGCCCCCAAGAGGGCCCTAAGATGGCCCCCCAGAGAGTTTCGAGCCCTCGGCCCTAAGAAGCCCCTACGAGGCCCCAAGAGGCCCCTAAGAGGCCCCTCAGGAGGCCCCCAAGAGTCCCCCAAGCGGCCCCAGGAGGCCCCCCAAATGCCCCCCCGAGCGCCCCAGGAGTCCCCCAAGCGGCCCCAGGAACCCCCAAAGCGCCGCATTGACACCAGGCCCTCGGGCAAACGGCAGACATGAGACTGTATGGGCCGGCGGAATGAGCGAAGCGATTAAATAAGCCGAGGTGTTTCCAGACCCGTGCATATGTGCGAGCAAGGCAGCTGCCGCCCGAATATCCCAGAGCGGAACAAATTAATCGCGCCTTCCTCGAACCACTCGCTGCCTGCGAGCGGCGCCATAACGGGCGCCGCGGCGCCGCTGAGAAAGGCCTCGGGGCCACACATGAGCTCCCCGCGCCACAAGATACGCCCTCCGATACTCCGATGCATGCAGCAAGAGTCCAGAGACGACGACAGCGCCGCCAGCGCCGCCGACGACGACGACGACCCCAAACGACAGCCATCCAGTCTTATCGGCGACACAAAAGCATTTGCAAGACCCGATCACAAAAAAATGCAATTTCAGATATTCCTAACTGTCCATACATAACGTTTGGGTTTCTTGGAATTTCCAAACGTCGTTCTGGATGTTCTAGGATGCAGCGCGCCTGCCGCTATCGTGGACGACATCGCCGCTGTCAGCACTGGCAACACACCCCCTTACCTTACACCAAGCCCCGCTATGACCTCTGGACTGCGGTACACATGCACCGTAAGGATGCAAGGTGAGGACTCACGACCCCTGGAAGTTTCCTTTCCCATCCAGGGCTCCTTGGACCACCATTGGCTCAGGATTTTGGACGCCCGAAATGGGTACCGAAAGAATGGGTACAATGCCCAACAGCAAATGTTGTCCCAAACCGACAGCGGCCGCTGTTGGGCAGGCGGCCTCCTGCCTCGAATGGACACAGGCCGCGGCGGCGTGGACAGCGAGCCCTGTTCAGAATGAACAGGATCCGCTGTTGGGCATTGTACCCATTCTTTCAGTACCCCTTTCGCCCGACCCGAAGGATGGGCCGAAGAAGCAGGGACGCAAGGGGCAGCCCTGGAGGAAGCAGCGCATCCTCCCTGTGAACTTCCACTGCGCTCGCCAGCGGCAGCGCGCGGGAAGGGGCGCGCCCGGCGCGGCAGAGCCCGCGCGGGGGGCTCCGCGCGTCGCTCAAGCGCACCGAGGGGGCCCAGGAAGGCACCAACAAATGGACACAAATCCCCTCCTCCTCCTCCTCCTCCTCCTCCTCCTCCTCCTCCCCCTCCTCCTCCTCCTCCTCCTCCCCCTCCTCCTCCTCCTCCCCCTCCTCCTCCTCCTCCTCCTCCTCCTCCTCCTCCTCCTCCTCCTCCTCCTCATCTTAGTGTTTGTTGCTATCAGATGTTCTGGATTCTGGATTCCCGTACTCCCCCCTCCACCTGATAGGGATAGAGGGTTCGACTGCTTCACGCTCGCCGATCTTCCCCATGCACTTTCAAAGAAGTCCATCTTCCCCATACACCGATACCCCTACAGATATATATAAATATAGATCGTATTCCCGTACATGCACCGATACCCCTACAGATATATAAATATAGATCGTATTCCCGTATCCCCGTCCACGATGACCATCCTTTCTACACGTCGTTCATTTCCAATCTTGCTCATTTCTAATTGTGCTCGTTTCCAATTGTCCCTGGCCCCCCAGTTGCCGGGAGGAGGCCCAGGATAGAAGAATCAGAAACGAAAGGATCCTGGCCCCCCCAAAAACATCAAGGAACTTTCGAGTACTCAGACATGCACATTGTGCACACCAGAGAGATCGAGAGAACTGGTGTGAAAGCTGTTATCATGCTTGCCTGTGCTTCTGGCTTCCCCTCGGCGCAGGAGGCGCGCGCCCGCCGCGGCCTCACGCCCGCCGGGAGCCCCGGAGCGCCCAGTGCTCGTGCAGGCTCGCCGCGGCGGAGCGCTCCACGACGCGCACCTGGGAGCCGGCGCAGGGCGAGCCGAGAGGACGTGACGGCGAGGGCATCGGACGAGGAACCAGTGGATAAGGGAATCCAGGGTCTCGAGGTCAGTGGAGCTGCGATCGCGGGTTGGCCATCGCCGCCGCCCTTTATCAGATAAGAGGAATCCTCCAGGGCCTGAAGCCTCCTGGGCACATTCCTGAACCAACGCCCCCACCGTATCAGGAAAACCATGCAGGCCCCGCGCGGCAACTCGAGACCCAATTCCACCAGCCCTTCAGGGCGCAGGTGGTCCAGCGCGCTTCCCCTTCCACCCCCTCCCTCCTCCCCTGCGGGGAGGGTTTTACCCCTTCCCCTACCCGCTCCTCTGGACCTGGACGGGGGGGTCCCCCGAGGGGTTGGAGCGTCCAAGATGGCTCAAAGAGCGCCTCGGAGAGCCCAAGCTGAGCTCCAAAATGGCTCAAGGTATCCCAAGATGCCTCGAGATGGCTCCCAAGATGCTCCAAGAGGCCCCAAGACCGATCCAAGACGGCTCCAAGTGGCCAAAGAGCTCCCCAAGGATGCCCCGAAGAGGCCAAAATCCATCCCAAACCTGGGAACATCAAGGTGTTTTGCTTTCTCGCCTGTTCGCTTTCGATGGCCGTCCGAGGCCTTCAGATGGTTCGAAGATGGCCCAAGAGGGCCCCAGGGGAGGCCCAGGAGAGCCCCAAGACGGCCCAAGAGCGCTCCAACAGCGCCCCAAGAGGCGATGGTTAGAGCTCCTGAGGGGGGGGGGGGGGCGAGGAACCCCTCTTCTTTGCTTCTTTGATCGAGCTCTTCCAAGATGGCCCCAAGAGCGCTCCTAAGGCTCCCAAGAGCACCCCAAGATGGCCCCAAGAGGCGTCCAGACGGCCCCAAGAGACGCCCAAGATGCCTCCAAGAGGCTCCCAAGAGGCTCCCAAGAGGCCCCCAAGAGGTTTCAAGAGGATCCCCTGAGGCACCCCAGAGACCCCCCGGACGTTCCAAGAGGCCCCCAAAAAACACCCACGAGACATCCGAGGAGACTCTCATGTTCGCCATTTTTTGCTCCTCCTAACGACGCGCCGAAAACGAAAAAGAAAAACAACTTCAAGGCCCTCCCCTGGGCAAGACCCCCTCCAGCTGGAAAAGACGACGGGGGGGGGGGCTTCGGACGCCCCTCGCGGGGACAAGGGGGGCCCGGGCCTGCCCCGGGCCCGAAACGGAAGGGGGCGGGGGGCCGGGGGGGCCCTGGCCATGACCAGGGACCCCCCAGCTACAAAAAATCCAAGCGCCAGGAGATCGGAGGGCAGCTTCGGGAGCGCCCCTTTTTGAGAGGGGTGCCCAGGCGCCGACCCCGGGCCCTGGAAGAGGAGGCAGGGGGCCAGAGGGTAGCTTGGAAGCTCTCCCCCCCTCGGCCAAAGCCCCCTCGGCTCCGAGGTGCCCGCAGAAAGGGAGGGGGGGAGGCAGCCGCCCTCTTCCGTGGGAGGGGGGGGCAGCTCCAAGCGGGCCCCCCCCCCCCCCCACGCAGTGAGAGGTGCGCCGCGAAGGCGCTCTTCCCATCCTTTGCTCCCCAAGCTTCAACGGGAGTCCGGGCTCAATGGTCGCCGCGCCGCGCGGCCAGTCCTCATTGTCTCGGAGCGCCGTCGCAAGCCCGCCAGCGCGGGCCCCATGGGGCCGCGCTGGTCTCAGCCGCCGCGCTCGCCGCCGTCTGCGCCGCGAAATTATTCCTCGGCACCGGCTTCGCCGGATCTGGGATGGCGGCGGCCTCCTCCAACGCCGCGCATAGTTGAGCCCAGCACCTCTGCGAGTTCCTGCTGGAACTTGGGCACGACAGAGCGATGCGCCCACGCGCGGGTGCCCGCGCCATCCGGCGATCTAGTCGCGCTCGCACTTCGGGGCCCCCATCGCTGCAACGCCTGAGGGGGTCGTCGCCAACTCCGAGCACCCCACCGAGACCTCTCGACGTCCTCCAAGATGAGGAACTCGATATCCTCGCCCGTGCACGCCGCCCGTCTCAGCATCCTCCGGAAAACCTCCTGCCGCGCTGCTGTCGGGGATCTTCTGACCCGGGTCAATCCAGACCCGGGTCAACAGGAAACCAAAAACTACAATGCAGGAAAAAAGCTGCAACGCAGGTCTTCGCAAACCCGGGTCAGCCAATATGTGCGGCCGCCTCGCGGCCACGAGCGGCTCCCTGACCCGGGTGAGCCAAAGGGGGCCTTCGCAGGATCCTGCAGGATCCGGCGCCCTGGCTGACCCCCGTCTGCATTGACCCCCGTCTCAAAGCTCCCGATGCTGATGTTTCCCCCTCCCCGGCGGGTTTGCGGACCACGGCCTGCCCCGCGTCGTCGCACCTCAGCAGGCAATTGTCCTTGTCGAAGTCCGCGATGTCCATCCACCGCCCGAAGCGCATCTGCATTCATGCTGGGTCCAGCATGTAACGCTCGCGGGATGCCGCGAGCGGCAGCTCTGGCATCAGGCGCCCTGCTCCGTTAATTCTCGCGCGCCCCAGCTTGAACGTCAGCCCCCCGCCCGCAAAGGCGAGGCACCGCGGCGGGAGACAGCTGTGGCCAGGCTGTGGTCGTCGTAGCGCAGCACCGCCACGCCTCTACAAGGCGGAGCCACGCCACCTTGCGCAAGAACGGACGACCCGCCGCTGCAAGGCCCGATGAACACGCTGGGGGTTCGCGCCGCCCTCGTGTCCCTTTGCCCACGCCGACAAGCGTCTCAACGTTGGCGACGATCTGCTGTGCCTCCAACCGAATAGAGAATCTGTCGCTCGGGTCGACGCCTGCCACTTGCTCCTTTTTCACACCATAGCGCGTAGGGACTGGGAAAGCACGGACAACTCTCGCGGTCCGGCCACCCTTGCACGCACGCAGTTGACGAAGAACGCCATCATCGCGGGCCACGGGGCCCCGTGAGCGCAAAAGCCACCACCTGCGCATCGTCTCAATGGCCCGCACGTGCTATCTCACCGTGTTGACGCGTGTGCGGCCCGCGATGCCGTCCTCGGCTCGTTCCGGGTCCATGCAGGACCGCGCCGTCTCGAAAGAGGGCACATCCATCTCCTCGGGCAGCGCGATACGGCGTGGCCCCCACCGAACACACTCCTGCGCTTCCAATCCGCGACGGCTCTCCCCAGCGCCAGTGCGACTCCGAGCGCAACGGGTGGCCGCCGATGCACGGGACCCTGGCGGCGGGGGGGCCTCGGACACGTCGCGGCGGCGCACCAAACTTAGGCGCGCCGCGGCGTCCTCGAACATGGTTCGCTCCGGGCGTCGTGGCGCGCCCTTAACCGTCTCTGCACCAGCTCCTCGGTCACAGCTTGGTCCACGAACCCCCTTAGCGGCTGCAGTGCCTCCTGCAAGCTGAGGTTCGTGGCCTCTGCCACTTGCACGAACAATTCCATCGAACTCGGTCTCCTCCGCCTGCAACGCGAGGCGCGGTCCGAGGTCGTACTCGTACCATGCTGACCCGCCGCCGCGCGGTGTTGAGGGAACGCGGCCCAAAAGCCAACATCTGCGCCCAACCGTTGTTCAAAATCGGCCGAGCGCCTGTGACCAAATTGCCACAAACACCTGACAGAATGAGAGGATACACATTCGTGCCGGCACACGGTGGCAGAAGGGAACAAACAAAAACACAAAACACAAACATTCGGATGACCGCGCGGATTTCTTGGATCGGCGCTCGGCCCTTTTCCGTGTTTCGCGGAGCGCGCCAGGGGCGGCGCCGGAGGTGCTGCCGGGGGGCCCAACCGCCGCCCCGAAGAATCCGCGCGGACCTCCGGGCTATGCTTGTTGAGTTGCGCGCTCCCGTATACTATACTTCGCCCTCCTCGGAGCACCGCGTCGCCCACGCGCAGCTCCCCTGCTGCGCCCCCGTGCGCGGCGTAGACGCCGAACATCGGCCCCTCCCGCGCCAGCGGGCCCGCGCGGCCAGCGGGGTCGTGCAGGCGCCGGGAGGCGCGCAGGGCGCGCGCGGGCTCGAAGCGGGCGTCCGGCTCGCCGGTGCGCTGGTCGATCGAGGGGATCTGGCACCGCGGGTCCTGCAGGTGAAAGGGGGGGCACCAAAGGACGTGCGCGCCCAACCTTGGAGGCTGGGAAGTGGGCGCCAACACCTCCACAGGGGGAAGGAAAATGTTCCTAGATTTTGGCGATGGTGGTAACATTTCGGTCACCTTGGAAGCCAAAATATGACCACCATCGCCGAGATCGGGATCTTCTTCCCTCGGTGGAAGCACACCGCCGATATTGGTGTTGGTGTCAACCTCTAGGCCTGCGACAACCACAATATGGTTTTGCGTTCGCGAGACCAGCCTTGTGACACGAAGGGTCACGCAATGCGTACGTTCGAAACCAACGTGGAGCCATGTACGCGTACGTTGTTCTTTTTCTCGCTCCCGAGAAGGGCTGGGCGAAGCCCATCGAGGTCCCCGACGACGTATGATTTCTCAGAATTCTAGATGTGTATGTTCTTCGATTGCGGCTTTTTGGTCCCGCTGTTAGGGCCATCTGGAAAGGGTCCAGGACGAGAAAGAACCCCCGTGTCAGGAGCTCTGGGGCAGCAGATTGAAACAAAAAAACATTATACCAAAGAAAGACTCCGATCAGTGGACGGCTTTCGCTGAGAAGAACGACCGGGAACCCGGGAGCGCGGGAACCCAGAACCCACCGAAATCGGCCCAGAACCAATTACCGGGAACCCAGGATACTGGAACCGGGAACACAGGACCCCAGCCTGCTACCAAAATCGGCGGGCAACTTTCGCCAACTCTTTCAACTTCCGCTATGACCCCTTCAGTGCAAGCACGAATCGGTGAATATTGTCAGGAGCGCAGAACGCAGCTGCCCTCGCCAGGAGGAGCACCTCCCAGGCGGGCATGAGGACATGGAGTTCCGCAGGCCCGCAAAGGATCCTGGTCAGGCTCATCCTGAGCACAAGATCGGTGTGTATGCCTTCCCGCATTAAGAAGCAACTCGTTGGAGGTCTTCGTCAGAACGATCAAGGGCGACGAACCCCGATCCAGGGCCGTTGAGCCCCATGAGGCTGGATTCAGACTGGGACTGAGCTGGACGAAGCGCAGGTCGCCCAGGCGTGGCGGGATGTGGCCAAATTGAGCGGGATTAGAATCGTGCTGCTGAAGTAAGGAACGACGAATGAAGAACGCCGCCCCTTTTTGGCCTCAAAGCGCCTGCGTGCACGAAAGCTAGAGGAACAGCAATGGAAGGACCCAAGGAACATCGAGCCCCTTCCGAACCCAGTCTGCTCCGTAGTTTGGCGTCTTGGCTGTATGCGAAGGACGATTCCTCCAACGCCGCTTCCGATTCTTTGAACTCACAGCAGAGGCATCCTGACCTGCCTATGCCCAGAGAAAGGAGGGGCGTGGGGTCCCCGTGGGGTCGGCCTGGCCAGGACCGGTGCAGGTGTACTCGGTAGGTTCGTGCGGCGTCGGCGCGCAAAAAAGCTTCCGACGCCGCGTCGCTCGCTCAACCTCGAACCGACCGCGGCTCCGATCCGTTGGGCGCGAATCGTACGGGGCGATAGCGGGGGGGGGGGACAAGAAAGGTGTCATTTTCGGGCCCTGCAGGCGCCCTCCTGGGCCCTCTTCGACAACCCTCGCCCCCCGCCCATTTATCGACCCCCATTACGCGCCCCCCTGGCCGTTCAAGTTCGAACTCTGTCGGGTCGAGTTGAAGGGGCCCAAGGACACACAAATAAATACACACTAATAAAATAATCCCCCATATTTTCCCATATTTTTTGGGTTTCTGTCTTCCCCCCAACTTCCCATATTTTCCTATATTTTCTGGGAAATCAAGGATTAATTGTGTCTGTGTGTTTCTTTTCCTCCTGACGAGTGGCGTTACCGTGTCGTGTCCATCGGTGTTTCCGCGTCGCAGTACGCAGCTTTGAACCCCTTCGCCGGCGTCGCTAACGCGCCAACGCCGCATGAACCAACCCACCCGAATGATGGGACAAAAACAACACACACACATTCACTCAACCCTCTAAGGAGCAAGAATGGGGAAGGGCAAGGCGATGAAGGTGCTATAGGTATAGGCGGTATAGGCGCGAGTTGTCGGTTATCGATGAAGGGCTCCCGTTTGAGCGGGGGGCCCCCATCCAACAACCCTTGGGCCTCCCCTCCCCCAGAGCTCCACCCCGAGAACTCTGGAGGTTGCATAGGTATGTGTGTCAATTGGAGCATGTTTTTTACTTTCCGCGGTAGCGGCCGTCACCTGCCCCACGCCCCCCCCGCACGTGATGTCACGTTCCGCGCCGGCAGCGTCCGGGACTGCGTAGGGATGACCGAAGCCAAGAAGGAACATCATGTACTTAGCGATCTGCACCACAACACCTCTGTAAACCACACTGCTCGCGTTCACCACAACGCTCTTCTACACCACAGCGTCTATTGACACCAGCAAAAGCCGTGTGCAACGCACCGCCTGTGTACACCACAGTGCTTGCGTGCGCCAGATAGCTTATGCACACCACAGCGAATACGTACACCGCATCAGCCGTTGGCAACACAGCGCCTGTGTACACCACAATGCTTGCGTGCACCGCGGCGCCTGTGCACATCACGGCGCCTTTATATACCACATCATCAGCGTGCGACACAGCGCTGGTGTGCACCACGGCGCCTCCGTGCACAGGACATGGACAAGGAGCACGTAAGTGAGACCTGCTGCGAACAGCTACAGTCGAAATCTATGGTAAGGGCGCGCGCTAAGGACGCCAAATATCTGCACGCAGAAATTTGCACTTTTGGGCGGCGAGGTGTCAACACCTGGAAGAGCTGAGGCAAGGACGCAAGAGGACTCTACGGACATCCGTGCGTCCTTACTAAAAAAATGATGACTGTAAACATCACGCAAATCGAGCGCCGATAATCGAATGCGATGTTCGCCTTCCTCGCGCCACCATGCTACAGCGCCTCCCACTGCACTGCGTCAGCTGGAGCCCCACGTCTCCAGCGAACTTCCTCAAGAATTAGGACGATGCGGGGGAGCTCGGGAGGACTCGTAAATTCCAGAGGCGTTGGTTTTTCCACACGGACTCCTCTTCCAAATCCTATATAAAAAACATGTGTCTTCTGTGGCATCCACAGGCGCTGCATTTTGTCATGAGGATTCCTCGTGACATTCAATGTGGAACAATCGTGTTCTGTTGCGCACAGTTGCTGTGGTGCACACGGGCGCCGTGGTGTACAGAGGCGCTGTAGTGCACGCTGGCACTGTGGTGTGATGTGTTCCACACGGTGCACGCAGGCGCTGTGGTGCACGCTGGCGCTGTGTTGCACGCGGGTGCTGTGGTGTACATAGGCGGTGTGGTGTACACAGGCGCTGTGGTGCACGCAAGCACAATGGTGTACACAAGCGCTGTGGTGCAGATCGCGACCTACACGCTGCGCCGTCCACGGCCGCATTCCTAGAAGCCGCCGGCGCGAAATGTGACGTCACCAGCCCCCTCCACCCCCCCCCTGGTGACGGCCGTCGTCGCCCCGGAATGCAAAAACAGGCTCTCGTCAGCTCATGAATACAGTAGGTGCGTTCCGATCCTGCTCCAGACAGCGCAGCGTCAGCTGGCGCGGGCCGTTCCCCAGCTCCACCACGGCCCAGCCGTCCTCGTCGAAGGCGGGGGCGCCCGCCACGACGACGTGTCGGCCGCGCGCAAGAGTGACCCCAAGCAAAAGTGACCTTTGATGCGCGGCGTAGCCGATCGTTGCATGCGATGCGACGGTAACTAGCGGCCCGCGCTGGTAAGGCTTCGGGCTGCGCACAGACTGCCCCCCAAGTAGTCCCGGCTGGCCTCAGGCGCCGCCTCCGGAGGCGCCCCTGGGGCGCTGCGCGCCCCAGGGTTGGGGTGTTGAGACCGCACCCGATTACTCGTGGGGCCTCTTGAGGCCAGCTGGGACTACCAGGCGGGCCCGTCTGGCGGGCCTGTTTCCGCGAAGCCCGAGGCCTCACCACCCCGCGCACCCGGGAGGCCGCGCACCACAGGTCACCCCGGCGACGGGCCACTCCTGCGTGTCGCCGAGATGTTGGGTCGGAAGCGGTCCATGCCCACCGCCTCGCCAGGCACGTCCTTGTTCACCCTGTTCAGAGACTCCTGGGCCGTGAGCAGCAACGGGAACAGGTCCGGGAAGGCCACCTGGTCCTCCGGCAGCGCATGGTCGCCCCCGACGTCGTTGGCGACCCGGCGCTTTGCGCTGGCACCCTCATCGTACCGCGCCAGGTGGAAGACATCCCCTGGGACGCCGACCTTTACCAGCCTGGAACATACCCCTATCCCTATGCTGGGCATCTCCTCATCACGATGCCGGTCTTAAGGATTCCCTTATTTTTTGAGGGCGCATCCCCAAGATTGTCATCGCCTTTTGGCGTGTCGATCTCAGGGATAGGGATACACCCTGCGAAATGCTTTAGAAATCATGGGTTAAGAAATTCATAGTCTCAGAACTTGAATAAAAACCCAAAATGTCCATTCAAATCTTAGGATTTGCATTGAAAAGTTAAGAATAATCGAGACTCTGGACGAAAACTTAAGTTTTTTTAAGCATCGCCCAAGGTGTAGGTTGATAGGGATAGGTTCGAGGCTGGTAAGACCTGGCGAGGGCCCCCGTCGATCGATAGGCCCGGGGAGCCCGCCAGGAGCTGCGTGAGCCACTCCGTGACCACCGCGGGGTAGCGCCACGCTGGCACCGGGTCCCCGTGGCCCATGCATCGGGCGCGCCGAAGAGGGAGGACAGGAGGAGGCTCCTCCTCCTCCTCCTCCTCCCCCTCCCCCTCCCCCTCCTCCTCCTCCTCCTCCTCCTCCTCCTCCTCCTCCTCCTCCTCTCCTCCCCTCCTCCTCCTCCTCCTCCTCCCCTACCTCCTCCTCCTCCTCCTCCTCCTCCTCCTCCTCCTCCTCCTCCTCCTCCTCCTCCTCCTCCTCCTCCTCCTCCTCCTCCTCCTCCTCCTCCTCCCCTCCTCCTCCTCCTCCTCCTCCTCCTCCTCCTCCTCCTCCTCCTCCTCCTCCTCCTCCTCCTCCTCCTCCTCCTCCTCCTCCTCCTCCTCCTCCTCCTCCTCCTCCTCCTCCTCCTCCTCCTGCGCGCCACGGCCCGAGGCATGCGCGCGGACGAGGGGGGGCATCGAGGCCAGCGGACGCTTCAGGAAAGCACAGCAAAGGGGGCCCCAACCTCGTGGGGAGTTCACGGCGCCGGCCAGGATGTCCGCACACCGTTCGTCCTCCTCGCCTGCCTCTTGGACGCCCCCGACAGTCGGCGGCGCGCCGAGGGGGCATGCCTTCTCGACAGGCGCCGTGGCTTCTCAGACGGCTCACGCGGCCTCTCAGGACGTCCGAGGCCTTCTGAGCCTTCTGAGAAGGCCTGCCCCGTCTGCTGCTGCTTCCTGGGCCCAAGCTCGGGCCGTCGTGACGGCTCGGGACGATCCGGGCACATCCGGAAGGCTCTCCGCGAGGCGCAGCCGCTGGAGCGCATCCCGAAGCCGGGAAAAAACCTCAGGAATCGAGGGAACTCGTGGAAAACCTCGAACCTGCAGCCTCCTCTGCCTTCTCCCCCGGGCGCGCCGCCGAAACATGCGCACGACGGTCCGCTTGCAGCCCGCCGCCTCCAGGCCCGCGAGGGGCACCCGAAGCGGCTCCATACCGTCGGCGTGCAGCGTCAGCGTCCCAGCCTCCGCGTCCAGCTCGGGGCGGATCCCGGCCAGTCGGCGGTGCAGCCGCTGCGTCTGCGCGCGCCCGAAGCCGTCGGTGACGGCCAGCACCTGGGAGGACGCCACGTGCAAAGGACAGGCCCATCCTGGGCCCAGGATGAGTATACACCCTGCGAAATGCTCAAGAAATCATGGGCTAAGAAATTCACAGTCTCAGAACTTGAATAAAAACCCAAAATTTCCATTCAAATCTTAGGATTTACATTGAAACATTAAGAATAATCGAGACTCTGGCCGAAAATTTAAGTTTTCTTAAGCATCGCCTAAGGTGTATACGCGCCCTCCTGGCTTGGGCAGGGGGGCGTGTCCACCGATCCTGGGCTCATGCGCCAGCCTGGCCAGGATCGGTGCAGGTGTACTCAACAGTTGGTGCCCTGCGAGCACCCGGTCCCACTCCAGGCCCGTGGCGGCCATCCTCGCCGAGGGCACGGATACCAGGTGCGCCAAAGATGGGGGTCAGTGCGAGGCAAAGATTGATCCATCCCCACCGCCTGGGGGATCGGTCTTCGAGGACCTCAGAAGGTGGTGGATACGGACATGTCAACATGACCCGCGCAAAATCCACATATCTTTCTATCACCGCCTGCCGACGTCCCCGAAGATCGATCCACCAAGCGGCGGTGGTGCATACCCCCCCGCCTCGGAAGCCTAAAGGGGTACCACAGCATCCCGGCCCGAGGTACGCGCGCGGACGAGGGGGGGGCGAGGGAGCGTCCAGGACGAGCTCTGTGCGCTCCTCGACTTGTGCGCTGCCTCCTTGCGCAGAGGCTGTGCGTTCATCTTCCCTGTCCGTCCGATTCCAATGGGTTAACACCCGAAGGAAGAGAAACCCATTGAAAGGCGAAGGGGGGGCAATGACATCTGGGAGACTTCACGGCGCTGGCCACGCCATCCACACACTCACACTCTCACACACACACACACTCACTACACACACACTGAACACACTACACACACACGCACACACTTAGTGATATAGTGCGAACTAGACAACCCACCCCCACCCACAGCCATGACCCCCGCTCCTGACCTGGTGACCCCGTGGTTCCTGGCTGGGGGGGGGGTGGCTTCGGGGGGGCTCTTGGGTGCCAGAAACCATCCCCCCTCCCAGCCAGGACCCGCGGGATCACCAGGTCGCGAGTGGGGGCCCTGGCTGGAGGCACGGGTGGGTGGTGCTGTCCTCACCTGGCCTCCCCACCCGCTCTTGGGCGCTCCTGAGGATATCCCCCCGCACGACTTCACAGGGTACACGCGCAGGTCCACCACCCGCACGGGGCTCGCCCGCAGGTCCGGCCCCAGCGACAGACCACCCAGGCCCAGCAGGGCGAGCAGCCGGCGCATCTCCGCGGCCAAGTGAAGGGGGGGGGAGGGATCCTCGAAGAAGAAGCAACCGCATGAACAGAACATGTTCGGAGGTCCGCGTACACCTTGCGAAATGCTTAAGAAATCATGGGTTAAGAAATTCATAGTCTAAGAACTTGAATAAAAACCCAACATTCCCATTAAACTATTAGGATTTTCATTGAAAAATTAAGAATAATCGAGACTCTGGCCGAAAACTCAAGTTTTCTTCAGCATCGCCTAAGGTGTGGACATCTTGCATCGGCGCTGGGCCCTCCTCCCTGAGCGCGGAGCGTGCCAGGGGCGGCCCCGCCGGGGGGACCCGGCGCCCGACGCTCCGCTCGTGAAGCTGGAGGATGCCGACGGGGATTTCCATTTCGCGAAGAGAGAGGAGACCTAAGGCGACGAATCTATACATATCCACTGCTCCCTGGCCAGGCCCATCCTCAACCTGGCAGCGGTGTATACGCCACGCCCTCCTGGCTTGGCCAGGAGGGCGCATACACAGCTCCTGGGTTCAAGATGGGCATGGTCAGGGAGCAGTGGATATGTATAGATTTCGTCGCCCGAAGACCGGCACCTGGCTGAATACGGGCTTGCATTACCAGGCTTGGAAGGCAACTGGGGAAGCCGGCGTGCACAAGAGCGCCAAGAGCTCCTCGCGGAGCTCCGACGGCCTGTGTTCACGCCGCTCTTCCTCCTCCGAGGCCCGCCGCAGCTGGGAGGAGGCTCGCCCAAGAAGGCTCGAGCAAAGCGGGCAGAGGCGCCACAGGGCGCACGCACCCTGCCTCGTCCTCTCCATGCCTCCTCCGCATTCTTGCAATCCTCTGCCGCCCTCCCTGCCTCCATTCGCCCTGCACCCCTTCCTCCTCCTCCTCCTCCTCCTCCTCCTCCTCCTCCTCCTCCTCCTCCTCCTCCTCCTCCTCCCCCTCCTCCTCCTCCTCCTCCTCCTCCTCCTCCTCGTGCTCGTCCTCATCAACGCCCCCAGGCGTCCTCCGATCTGCGTTTTCTTGTGGTGTCCGCGGCCAGAGCCAGGACTCCAGACCCCGTCCCAGGGGCAGTTGTTCGTACCGGATCTGGGTTTGACGGCGATGGGGCCCGAAAACGGGCCTCAGACCGGAAGCCGAGATCGTGGAAAACCGCCCGGATGAAAACCCACATATCGGCAGAGATCTGGGTTCGACCTGACCCTCCCTCCACTGCTGGTTCTCCTGCTCCCCTGTCTGCTGCCCCGTTGCTGCCTGTCCTTCTATAGCCCTCCCCACCATCGAGTTGCTCCTCCTTGGAAGCGACCAGGGGGCCTGAGCTGGATATGGCCCGAGAGCATCGGGCAAGGCAGGGGGATTCAGGCAAATCCGCTCAAAATGAATCCCTGGCCCTGGACCCCAGGCATCTCTCTGGCAGGCGGCGGGGGCGGCGGCAGGGGAGCCCACAATCGAATAGAAAAAACAGACCGAACCTTCGGACGCCCCAGATGGGTACGGAAAGCTTGGGCACGATGCCTGACAACGAATATTGCCCAAAACCGACAGCGGCCGCTGTCACGAAAAACTGCAAGAGGGGGACAATCCATTCCAACCTGCGAGCCGCAGCCCCTGACCCAGGCAGAAGCGAACACCGGCCTCTGATGGACGCGCCCGGCCGCCTTCGCGGGCGGGAGCGCGCAAGGCGACGACGCATGTTCATCTGGTGCGGTCTTTCACTTCTCGGGAGCGGCAAAGAAGGGGGTGTCCAAGAGGGGGGGGTGCAAATCATGACCGTCGGCATGTGCGCGGCCCAGCGGGGGGGCCAGGGACGTAATGAAACAAGAAGAGGCGCCATGAAATCTGGGGAAAAAGCATGGCCCACGCCATGATATCCACCCCCCCCTAGTCATCACCCCCTCTTTTCCGCCCCCGAACTTCGGATAAATATTTGACGGCCCCGGGGCACGAGAACGGCCCCTGGAAGCAGAAACAAGGAAGCAAAACCCTCTCGAACCCAGCACCTCAAAGCTGCTCCCCCTCGTGCCTGCTGGCCAGAAGCGCTGCTGGGCCACCTCAGACCCCCGCTCCATTCCAAGCTCTCTCTCTGACTTGGCGGCGCGCACAGGGGGGGTAGGGGGAGGGGGGAAGGCTTTTTAGACGCCTTCCCCCCCTACCCCCCTTGCGCATGGCCGACTTACTTCTCTCTTGGCACCCTCGTCCTCCTCCTCCTTCTGCGTTTGCTGCTCCCGTTCCCTCCCCATCACTCCGTCCCCCTCCTCCCCGTCCTCCTCATCACACTGTCATCATCACCATCCTCGCCCTCCTTGACAAGGTAAGTAAGGCTGGTGATGGTGATAATGCCCACGTCGTTTCTATCCTCCTCCTCCTCCTCCTCCTCCTCCTCCCTCCTCCTCCTCCTCCTCCTCCTCCCTCTCGTGCTTCTCAACCGCATCCTCCTCTTCAATTCCCCTTCCTCATCTTCCTCCTCCTCCACCCTCCCGCTTCCCCGAATTCTCCCCGCGCCTTCTTCCCACGTTCGCCCCCTTCCACCTGTTGACCCCGTCTCAACCCTCCCTTCTCCGCGTCCCCTGTCCTCCCTTCTCCCTTCCCCCCATTCCCACATCAGCACTTCCTGGTTCCTCCCTTTCCACCCGCCTTCCCCTTTCTCCTCTTCTCCCTGCTCCCGATCGCCTCTCCTCTGC